AAAGGAGTGGGCGGGTGCGAAACCCTCAACCCTAAAAGGAGTGGGTGGGTGTGAAACCCTCACCCCTACAAGGAGTGAGTGGGTGCGAAACCCTTTTCCCTAGAAGGAGTGGGCGCCTGGGACACCCAAAAGCCTGAAAAGAGTGGCCGGCTGCGTTAACCCTAAACCCTAAAAGGAGTGGGGGGGGCTGCAGTCATCCGGGCGCACCGACCACTGTGGGCCTACTACTACTACTACTACTACTACTACTACTACTACTATTACGACGCTACTGCTGCTACTGCTGCTGCTCTCCACGTCCTCCTCCTCCTCCGCCGCCTCTTCCTCCTACTCCTTCTCCTCCTGCTGCGTCTACAGAAGATAAGCAGCTACTACCTACAACTGCAGCGACACAAACAAGTCAGCAACACCCAACAACAGCAGCAGCAGCAACAGCAAACAGCAACACTGGATGCACCAGCAGCAATCACAGCAAGAGCATCACCATGTCACCACCAGCATCATTGCACTGCTGCAGCCTTGCCTTCCGGCTTTCGCATGGCCATGGCAGTGAGCAGTTGCTGCAAGCTTCTTTGTTGAGATGCACGACAGTACTGTCTATTCCATACCCTCGGACTCGTTTCCAACGCAGGGCTGGGGGGCCTAGGTTCCGTGGACTGACGTGCTCATAGCATACACCCATGGATGATTTCGGACCAGATGCTGACCGACACGATTGCATGTGCAAAACAAGATGTCAGATACTTTCTCAAGCATGAAGTCGGCAAGAAAGTAGCAGTGCAAGATTGGCTCGTGAGGCAATGCATAAAGGGAGTGTATTGCGAGACGCGATTGCTCTTGCTACTTCCCTTTATTGCGAACAAAAGGGGCAAGAGCCTCCACAAGCAGGGCGGAATCTTCGAATCCAGTCAAACCTCGACAACATGAAACAACACGACATGAAACGACGCGAGACAAAGAGTTGTGCACGAGCAAACAGTAAATTGTGGAAATCAGCCCAAACGGATGCTCGACTAGAAGCCCTAGGTGGTCACACGTACATAAGTGGCCGCAGGGGTTTTCCGGTAGCCAGGTTTATGGAATATTGTGGAATGGGTTCTTAACCCCCACGCCTGCCAGCAACAGTCAAGAAAGTGCAGATAAGCTTGTGGGAATGACTTTCAGGGACCATGTAGCCTTGAAACTTAGGGCGTCGCACGTTTTCTCTACACAGCTCCTGAATGTGATTCTCAGAGGCATGTCTGCGCTGTCTTGACTTTTGCTGGCAGCATGGGTTCAAAGTCCAATTTTTCCCTGCCTTATAACGTTGGCTTCCCCAAACCCGAGCACTGTCTTTACTTTTGCTGGCAGGCGTGGCTTCAAAGCCCACTTTCCCACCCCCACTTCCCACCCCCTTTCCCCGAGTAAAGTTAAGTAGAGTCCGATCCTGGCGGCGCCTAGAATCCACAGCGACAGCCTCCCAACCGCAAGACCTGCACAACAGCGCGCAGCCAGTTACAGACGTGTGTGGCCCCAGGTAGCTGGGCCTTAGCCCTAGAAGTACTTGACCATCGTGATATGGGAATTGTTCCTGACAACGGAAAACATGCCTTCAGAGTTGCCTTCAGCCACTCACTGAAGTCTTACAGGTCGTAACGGCACAGAGGCTCGGCTCACCGTTGGCTCACACCGCCAGCACGAGCCCCGCCCCATGAAAGAGGCCCCTGGCAAGGCTGACGCAACAAGTGAGATCCCTCACCTATCGCTGCAGCTTGAAAGACGGTGTTCGGGCTTCACAGGAAGAGTTGGAAACTGCACGCGCTAGCTTAGCTTGTAAGCGCAACAACCGTGTAGAGCAAGGTCGCTGCAGTCAAAGGTGCAAGCGGGCAACAGAACAATCAGACCCGGCAACGAGGATCCAAACACTCGCCCCACTACAAGTAGCATATCACCCGACAACAGCCACCAGGGTGATCAAATGCACTACCGAACAAAAGCAACACCGTCAGCTGTCGCTGACACGCATGCACACCTTTCGAACTCTACCCCACCTCGCGCAGCCCCGAACCTCAACCCCCACAGCTACCCTTGCTGCTACACGAAAACCGAAAAAGGAACACCTTCAATAGATATCCCGCAGCTCGTACAGCACCGCTCGATTCAACCACCCAGCCCTGGGCAACGACGCCCCCGCCAACAAGAAAAATGGTACGTTAAAGCACGCTTGATGTGCAATATAGTCATGACTCAACCTACAACCATCTCTTTAACCGGAAAACAAGACCCTGAAGGCCCAGCGCGGAAACATCTCAAAACCTAATCTCCACTAAACCAGGCTCGGCCCGCACAAGGACGGGTATGCCCAGGCCCAGCTGGAGAAGCTCGGATCCAGATCCTTACGACCGGGCCACGGCTACGACTGTGGCCCTGGAACACGTGACCCAGCGGCCCGGGTATCTTCGATGCATGCACGGGCAGCACGTAGCGTAGCAAGCAGCGTGTCGCAGGAGAGGGCAAAAACAAGCAGCTTGTTTCTGCAGACGACTTGCTGAGTTTTCGGCCCCTGTATTTGAGGAGGCACTGGTAAAATGCCTGAGACTGGCGGAGTCCCGGTGTGCCCGGGACCCTTGACTGCCATGTCGTGCTTCGAAAACGCATGCAAGGTGATCTTCAAGTTATCTGGGCTTTGGCCATCCATCTTTTCTGGTCCCACTGTCACCGCACAGGAAAGCCAGTGCAAAACGCGGAACTTGACCTTAACTCGCAAGGTCGTAAAACCCGGTACCTGTGCCGAATGCCACAGAAACTCTGAGGCCGCCAGCAATGGCGAGGATGGCAGGCAAGGCCTGGGGGGAGATCTCAATGACTTCCGTCACGCCAGTACTCTGCGGAAGGTGTCTGAGGGCTAGGAACATTGAGAGGTAAAAACGCTTTAGATTGTTTAGGAAAGGACTTGTCTATTTTACGAAACTCCTGTGGAGTCGGCTCCGGGGAGTAGAGGACTGTTTGAGCACTGCATGCCACGTGAATGCGCTGTGTGTTTAGATGTGTATACATATATATATATATATATATGTATGTATTACTTAATTTATTTGCTTATTTGTTTATTTATGTATACATACATATATATATATATATATCTTTTTACACGCACACTTGTGCATGTATATAGCCGCGCGAGCCAAACATGTGAATGCCGGTGCCTGTGCTACGTGAACCACAACTGGGAACAAATCGAACAACACATTTCACCAAATTGTGTGCGGCCGGGATGTGCTAATCGTGAGACACCAATAATACGATGTTTTTGGGCAAGGCAGCCAGTGAGGATTGTCTTCGCATCCCTGGAGCTGCAGTCACCGGGGCTCGGGCAACCGCTGCCGACAGATTTCCGACCTTGGGCTTTTTCGGGCGTGAGTGACTGGTGTGGAGGCTGCCGAACCGAGAACTCCACGACATGGTAATGAGCTACGAGATGCTGGCGATTCCGGTGGAGCTTTGCTCCGGAGTCTTTTTCTCTTAGCAAGCACGCCCTGCCCGGTTGGGTTCGAAAGCGCTAAACACGAGTGCCTTGTATGCTTGGTTGACAATCTGCTCCTGTGGGATACCTCGAAAGGCGAAGTCTCCACCTGCCTCCAGCGCGGAGATGTTGATGCCCTGCCATCCCCATCTGCGCAGAAGCAGGCGTGTCACCTCTGCGTTGAGCAGCGTGGCATTGTTGTCTCCGTTGCTGAGCACTACCATCACCTTGCCCGCGTCGGGACCCTCAAAGCAAGCGATGTAGACTCCCCGGAATCCTTCGTTTGCGGCCTGATGCACCGCCACCTTGTTCGGGCCGGCATCCATGACAAAGACCCCAAGACCCATGCAAGCGCCCATGAACTCCACCGAGCCAAGATCACGCACATGGTCCCGCAGCACAGCCACAGCCGTCGCATGCAGGATCGGCACTTTTGCCGAAGGATCCGAGTAGGCTGCGATGAGCTCGGCCCAGAAGTTGGCCAGCGCCCGGGGTGTGCCCAGGGCGCCAGCAGCGAAAGCTGGAAAGGCCAAGCGGCCGGCGGGTGGTGCAATGACGTCCCCGGCATCCGAGAATCCCAGAGCATAACGGCCCTCAGCACGTGGCAGAGGTCTGGGATCGAAGCTGAAGTCTCCGAGGCCCGTGATGTCTAGGAAAGGGCGGCACACGACCTCGATGGCCTTGCCTTCCATCTCCTCGATGAGGTGCTGCAAAACCAGGAAGCCACCACCTGAATAGCCAAAGCATGCCCCTGGCTCCTTGCTGACCTCGATGGCCTCATAACCAAGATCCCGTCGCTCGCCAGAAATGAGCGAGAGGACAGCTGGAAAGTCTGTGTCTAGTGGGACACCATGCACATAGTGCATTCCCAAACCGCTGTGGTCCATGAGATGGCGCAACTGAACAGAGTCAGCCCACGCCTGCGGCATCTTACCCTGAGCAACACGCAAGCGAAACGGGGAGGTTGTGCGAGCGAGAAGGACGTTGACGGACTCCGTCAGAGCAATGCCCTTCTCTGTAAAGTATTGAGTAGCGAAAACAGAAGCCACCGTCTTGCTGAGCGAGGCGTGCTCCATCCAGTGACGAGGTGTCAGCGACACGAAGCCATCTGAAGTTCCCACTGCCAGGTCCAGATGACTGACGGGCCCGTTCAGTGCAATGCTCACCTTGGCATCAGTGCTTGCAGACGATAGACACGGAGGAGGATTTACTCAGGTGCGCAACCCTCCAGATCCCTCCTTTGACTACGGCCCGTGGTAGTCGACACTGACCAGACTGACCAGAATGCACCAACACAAACTGTAAAGTCAAGCGGTCCCAGACACACCCCGAACTCCTCGCTTCTGGAGCAGTGCTTCCAGCTCGTCGCGCAGGTTCTCCAAGCTTATGGGCTCCATGTAATGCTTCCTAGCTCTCAACTCGGAATCTTGCAATGCTCAATCTCCAAAAAACTCTCGGAGTTGCGGACTCTCATAACGATCACTTGAAGGGATCAGGTCTGTAGGGGCATTCAGGCTCCTCTTGGTTCTTCAAGACTCAGGATTTGGGAAGTTTGCGAATGCTTGCGTGGCTTCAGGCGATGGGTCTTAGGGTGTAGTCGGGACTGTTTCAGCAATACTTTCTTATCGCTAACCAAAGCGTTTTGCATCGAACATATGTGGCCATGTATCCAATTGAACCTTCCGTACCGCAGAATATCGCCATCTCATCCTGGCTCCCACCTCCCGCCTCCCATCCTCAGCAGCTGGGGTGGAGTGCGAAGTGGGATGCTGGAAGTGGTGAGGAATTGTGAGGTGGGGTGCGAGGTGGGGCTGGGTCCCCACCTCTCTTCCAAAAAGTTAAAACCCTCCGGCGAAAAACGTGAGGCTGGGAGGAAGGGGTGGGAGGTGGCAAGTGGCAGGTGGGCGGAGCGGGAGTTGGAAATCGCAAGTGGCGCAGTATCAATTCCATACGGCACTATAACTGTATCGCAGAAGTAGTGGTATCGACCGCACCGCCCGATAACAACCCTGGTAAGTCTGCTTGTTTGGTTATCACCGGGGGTGCACTTCGATTCCGATATGGTTAACAAGCTTACCTTCTCTTAAACACGAGCCCGAACAAAGCTCCCGCGACCCCTGTAGAACCCCAAGCCCTTCCGGAACCGTTACAATCAATCTTTCAGCCGTCCAAGTGAACCTCGGAGCAGGTTTACGTCAAACGTACACTGACATCTAGACAATCTAAACCTTGAGCCCCTAAAGCCTGACGGCTAAAACCTAAACCAAACCCGACCTCCACCCGAAAGCCTAAACCATACAACTCATGAACTCTGAAGGGGCCCATGCTGCACCCGCCGGCGGGCCCAGGAGGCACCTGGACTTGAGAACATGGTCAGGCTCTTAGGGGCTTACTATTTAGATTCTCGTGCATGCTTTTCGGGTGTCAAGGTTTTCGGGTGCACTTTGCTGCTGTCTCCGGTGCTGATATGCTGGACACCGAAGTCGGCCACGAAATGTGATCGACTATGAACGAAGAACAGCGAAACAGAACAGTTTCCATCGTTGAGGATTTCGTACCCTTCGCTGAAACTCACCAACCGCGCCCGAAACGCTTCATGCGAATCACTTTGCAGCCCGCTCGCATGAAAATGCGGTTAACTATGTATAACTATGCAAGAGGTGCCCATGTAAACTTAATGCAAATCGTGGGTTCAGGCCGGCAGCCAGGCAGTATGAGCTATTTCGGTTCATGGACTCTCAACCTATCTATCTACCTATCTATACCTATATCTATATCTATATCTATATCTATATATATATATATATATGGCTTGCTTGCTGGCGGCCCTACAGGTGCGTACCCGTGCGCAACCCCCCCCCCCCCCCCCCACGCGCGTGCAGCCGAGAGAGAGAGAGAGATAGAGAGAGATAGACAGACAAAAACAGAGAGAGAGAGAGGGAGAGACGGGGAAAAAGGGGAGGGAGGGAGGGGGAGCAAATGACCGGAAGACCTGCCGGCCTTGCGATGACATCTCGCGCAATGCCGCCACCTCTGCCAGAGGCAGCTACGCTTGTGCTCACAACACACATAGGCACTAAGCCTGCAATGTCCCACAAAAGTCAATAGGTAGCTAGGCCAACCAAAAATACACCGCTAGACTGGGCGCACCAGACCTGGAGTACCCCTATACTTCTGATTCCTTGTTGCTAATCCTACAAGTGTCGTTCTTCTGACTTGCTCATGCACAGCCGCCACCTTCAGCCTGGCACTGGATACCTTCCGCCTGCCACCATAGCACACGCAATTTGCACGTGAGCTTAGGCCGCGGCCGAAGCTATAGGTATAGGTCGCGACCACGCAATACATGAACCTAGCGACGCAAGACCAAGTTGGGTGAAGGTAGAGATAATGTAAGCCAACATCTCTCTATCCCTACCAGTTCCCAACGACTCTCACCAACTTTCACACCCAGCCCTCCTGAATTCTACAGCTGCCCGCCCAACTAGTCATGCTCGGATGCATGGTATCCGAGACTAGGGTCACTCGGACACGCTAAAGTCACGTAATCTTAGCCGTTCAGGTTTTTCGGGCTTTCTTTTGCAATGCTTTGAAGCCTTCTTGGTTGGCATGGTGGGTTCCCGGGTATCTGTGACGCTGAGTGTGACTGGGCATGACTGGAGTAATAGGACATGCATGACGACGAGAATCAGGCTAGGCACTCCCAGGTTCGCAGTTCCGACAACGAGCAGCATTCAGTCACTGCCTGGCACGACTGCTCCAACTTGTGGTGTCGTCAGCCCCTGCCTCATCCAACTTCTGCACATTCCCTGGGCATCTAGCAAGGACCTGAGCGATGCAAAGGGAATTTCCCCGCGGCAAAGCTTTTTCTGGAAGCAATCATTACAAGCTGCTTCAACACACATGCACACACACACACACACACACATCTGTTTTTCCTCTGCAGGGCCAAGAGCGCAGCAGCGCGGCGTGCGGTGCATTGCAGGCACGACGTGCAAAGCACTGCAGCAGATCCACATCTTAAGGACTCTTACCCTGACCTCTTCCTCCGACAACCGTGCCAAGTTTCACATAGCGAGCTACGGCATTTAGCACGGCAGCAGGAGCAAATACTAAATACATGCACAAAATCTTTCACATGAGGCCTGTGCCGAAGCATGTACACGTCAGAGGACAGAGATCAGTAGGATTAGACGAATAGTTCAACTAATTACACGACCGGACATATCTTGGCCAGCCAATCCTGCCCTCAATCTGCATAGACAAGAAGCAGTTAGTTACGGGGATAGAGAGTCGCTCCGTGACTCCGACTGTCAAAACCCCAAAACCAATCTGATGCTGGTTTCGATTCGACCCGTCTCTGCACTCATAGGGTCTTGAGATTCCAGACTTTGCCCACCCTCAACCCAAAATCCCAAACATACAACTCGGACTCAGAAGCTTTTTGCTATCCAAACCAGAGTTTACTGAGCACGTAGCCCCAATTTACTCCAACTTTGTTCCAATTCTGTCGTTTATAAGGCATGAAGCTTAGTCCTTTAGGGCTAGCTTGGGGCTACTTTTGGGTGGGCTCTTCATGGCCCTCTCTAGCAGGATTAGCTGAACGGTCCCGACGCCCGTGCGCCAAAAATGGTCTGGTAGCTTCTGGAAGTGACTGCGCATGCCAAGCTGGAATTTTGGTTTCTGACACTCAGGCGTTCTGAAGGGGCTTTGTCAAAACAAAGGTCCTATGTACTAGTTAAACCATTTACGGTCTATAGTTCTTGACATCTATACCTTCCAGGAGCCACAAGCATGCTATACACGCCTACAGCTGATGTGCACAAATCGTGGCTGTCACAACACAAGGTGCCTTTGAAGGGGCGCCACGTGGCCTAGATTCTAGATCAACGAAGTCCGTAGTAATTAATATACAGCAAAAGCCCAGAAGTTGGAAACCCGATAGCCTTAATCCTCAAGAGCAATGTATCCGGAATCTTAGCACTCATTGTCCGTAATCTGGTTTCCAACTTTCTGGGGTTCACTGTCAACCCTAAGAGTTGGTCAGCAAAGTTCCGCAACATCCGCCGAAGACGACCAGTACGGGGAAATCCCAGATGCTTGATGTCGTCGATGAAATTGAAATTGGTGCGGTGCTGTCCGGTCTGCATGAGCTTGTAGTTAAACAGTTAGCGACTACGTGTTGCTAATCATAGCCTATCAGGCCTATCATAGCCTACAACACTGCCTTTCGGGAGGTTGAGCATTTCTTTGGTAGATGGTGGTGCTGGAATGGACTTGCCATGGTGTACAGCCACGTGCAGCGAATTTCCGGATGTCTGTTGCACGCGCAACTCTTGAGCATGATCTTTTTTGTGGAGGCATCCGCAACTCCCGCACAACGAAGCGGCTAAGGTCTACTCACTGGAGCCCCAGCGCCGGGCCAACATCGCTCATGCGGCTCTGCAGCTTCCCAAGCAGCAGCTCCACCCGTCGCACCCGTGCCTCGTGAGGAAGTTCGCAGTATCTCTTGTAGAAGTTTTATGGATGTATGCGTGCGTACAGTGGTTTAGTCCATGGCGAATATGCAACACATTACGCACATTACATGACGATCCCTGACAATCCCATGGCATGTCAGCTATGCAGTACATGGATTTACATTGCAGTGTGGTGTGTGTGTGTGTGTGGGTCTATGTACTTAAATACGTGATCACGCATACATACAAGTCATACATATATATATATATATATATTTATTTATTTATTCATTTATTTATTTATTTATATTTATTTATATTTATTTATGCATGTATGTATGTATGTATGTATGTATGTATGTATTTATGTACGTATGTATGTATGTACGTATGTATGCATATGTGTGTGTGAGTGTATGTACGCATGTATATATGTATGTATGCACGCATACATATGCACAATTGCTCTTTGCATATATCTACACAGGGTATATACACAGACATATCTTCATGAGGTGGTGCAACAGTTCAGCACGAGCGACAGGATTCGCAAACCCGAAGCATGCACGAGAAGCCACGAGCCAGTTCAGAAATCTTCGCTTTATCTCATATAAGTGTGTTATTTTCTGTGTATATATGTATACATATTATATATATATATATATACACATACATTTACACACACACACACAAACACACACACACACACACTTCATTCACGGTCGTCATCCCCAGGTGCATCCCCGCCCATTCAAGAACCAGTATATACTCACGCTCCACCTTCCGCAATCCCTCGGAAAGACGCTTATGAACTGCAGGGACGGGCCGGATCAAATGATCGCTGGCAATAGTCACACAGTCGTCTAAGCTACATGGTGCGCAGTCATGGGACAAAATGAGGGCCGTAGCAACCTGCAGTTCTCATCGTTAAACCTAGTTGCCTACCGCCCGAAGTGCTAAACCACCCCAAAAACCAAGGGAGTGTCACCTGATCCAGATGGCTCTGGGCATCCGCAAGCTCCTCCTTCATAGATCCGGCCGTCGTCGGGATGTTCCATACCGATTCAAGGTTTCCGGGTTATGGCTGAGTGTTGTACGGTTGAGGTTTCGGATCTCTGGTGAGAAGACTTCGTGCCTGAGGCTTTGCCATGCCGACTTGCAAGTTGGGAGTACTGACCCGAACCCCGTGAACTCGAATCCCTAACTTCCACAAGGGCTTACCGTTTTTGCAGTTTAAGTTTCGGCTCTGGCTCTGTCGCCTCCGAATTCGTGGGACTTTTCAAGCCTCTGGCAGTGAAGCCAGAAACGTTGAAAGTCAATTGGGGCAGCGGCCTTTGAGCAACAGCCATCTTGAGGGGTGGCGACGGACACTACTGCACGAAGATCCGAGAACCGCGCGCTTGGAATGCCTAACAGCTTTAGCAGCCCAAGCAGCAAAATCAGCCACATCCACACCACCAGCCACGATCGACAGCAGCATCCACTGCGCACACTTCTGAGACAAATAAAGTGCGTGGCAAAGCCCCTCCTACCTTCCCTTTGAAGGGCTCCTTGCGCAGGTCGCTGCTGCACGACGACAGCCGCATGCCACAAACAAGCTCTTCCTTTACCTGCCATCACATTCCTCTCGCCATGCGTTACAATACAGTGCTATCTATGTCCACGGTCAACCTTCCCTAGCCTTCTGCCTATATGTCTCTATATATATATATATGTGTGTGTGTGTGTGTATGAACGTACATAGGTAGGTAGGTAGGTAGGTAGGTAGGTAGGCAGGCAGGCAGGCAGGCAGGCAGGTATAGGTAGGTCGGTAGGTCGGTAGGTCGGTCGGTCGGCCTGGTCGGTCGGTCGGCCGGCCGGTCGGTCGGTAGGTGGGTGTGTACGCATGCACGTATGTATGTAACCTGTATGTATGTATATGTACGTATGTGTGTGTATGTGTATGTATATATTTAGTTATATATACATATGCATGTATCTCTCTCTCTCTCTCTCTCGGGTCTCAAGCCCCCCTGGCCGACGGCCCACCCATGATCGGTCTTTGGGGAAGTGTCTTTTGTTTTTCTTTCTTTCGCCAGGGCTGTGGTGCAGGGGTTTGACCCCCTACAGTTTTTCTCTCTCGCTCTCTCTCTCGCGAGGTTCGGGCAAAGACCAGCACTAAAACATGCACAGCAGTTGCAAACTTCCGCTCAGCAGCGTTCGCCGCGTCAGTCCGGACGCCTGACTTGAAGCTACATTGCTGCATTCTCGCACTGCTGCAGCATTTTTTTATTGAGAGCTATCAGATTGGGGGAAATGTGACAGACTGGTCCGAGCGCTGATTCTGACTTTCTCTGCCTCTCTCTGTCGAAAAGACTACTCTCCGAAAACTCATAGCCTGCATGCCTTATGTCAGGCATCTTGCAGCTTCCTGCCTTATGTCAGGCATCTTGCAGCTTCCTCTGACTTCCTGCAAGCCTGAACTCTTGCCACCTACGTGGCGGCGGTGACATCGTCGGACCCGCAATGGTGGTAAGGGTAGAAGCAGTTGTCGTAGTCGTCATCGTAGTCGTCGTCGTAGTAGCAGCAGCGACAGTAGCAGTAGCAGTAGCAGCAGTAGTAGTAGCAGCAGCAGCAGCAGCAGCAGGAGCAGTAGTAGTGGTTGCCTCCTGCATGGCTGAACGAGTGTAGTAGTAGTAGTAGTAGTAGTAGTAGTAGTAGCAGTAGTTGTTTTTGTCACCCACTTGGCACGCCGTCGACAGCACTGCGGGGTCTTGACTAACCACCAGAGTCCAGAGGTGTCATCTCAAGTCGAAAGCAACAACGAAACAAAACCAGAAAATCAAACTGTCAGATGTACACCTCCGGCAAAAGTCACCTGTGACATGTCCAATGCGCATTTTCTATAGGCATTGACTTGGTGCACTCACTGACATCATGCATCATTGATTAGTTAAGATACAAAGCTCAGTGACAAGTGTGTAGTAGTAGTTGTTGTAGTAGCAGTAGCAGTAGCAGAAGTGGTAGTAGTTGGTAGGAGGAGTAGGAGCAGGAGCAAGAGCGGCAGTAGTGAGCAGTAGTAGTAGTCGTAGTCCCAGTCGTAGTGTGGTGGAAGTCACAGTCGTGGTCGTCATCGTCTCGCATTAGTCGTCGTCGTACTGGTGCTCGTCATATGCGTAGCCGTAGTATAGCACCAGCAGCAACAACAAGGCTGAGCATTCATAACAACTTTACCATACTTTGTCGCAGCCTCCTGCTTGATGCGCTTCGTAACGGTGGGGGCTTCCAGAGGGACACGGTCCAAGCGCAAGCGGCGCCTGTGGACTTGACAAACTGCTTTCTGAAGATCCCAATAGCAAGCATGGTACGGTGTTCAAGAGATTCAGTTCT